GGATATATATTATAAGGACTTGCCCTGGGTTATATATGTCCCTGCTTCTGCAAATACAACAGGTGCTTTACATGGCACAGTTTTCATGGCAGAGTTTTCATGTGGCAGTTTTCATTCTAGTCTTGCCCACGAAAATTTCTTCAGACTTCACATTTTATTCAGGAGAAGAGGGGAAATACAGAAACTTGGTAAAGTACTCAGTCTTCTGAAGCAGAAGCAGGTAGCAAACTACACTACATCTCAAAACAGGAGATTTGTTAGGTTTATTATTCTTTCATGTCTTAAACCCTACTTTAAGACAGTTATCTGTTACCTAAGAGACCTGAAACTACGGTAGTGCCTGAGATTTTAATTTACTCCTTTGCAATTTTCTTGTTTTAATTATGTTTGAAACAGAGAAAATAGCTTCCATGGTTGTTTCTGGGACAGTTTTCACTGAAAGGAGGCAAAAAAGAGCAAACGGTTTACAAGAGTAGTGACAAGACACCCAGATAATACTGTCAGTGCTAACTTGCTCCATGGTACTGGTTGTGTGTCATGTATAAGTACACAGAAAAAAGGATCGACTTGTTCATAGCAAGCTTCTTGACCCTTGATGGAAGTTTTAAAAATACTTTAAAAACTGTTTAAAATCTGAAGGATTTTTTTCTTTTCAGTATGCTGGGTGTAACACCAAATAAACCTGTACACGCAGAAGATGGCAATATGGTTATTTATTTTAATCTGCATTTAAGATTAAAATATTCTTTTATTTCCCTGATTGTTCATCCATTCAATCAACAAAATTAAGTAAACTTTTTTGAAAATAGTCATCTGTGACTTCTAGTCATGGCTTTGCTTTAAATGTTGTTCCCTAATTTTAAAAAAAGCAGATTTATTTAATTCCTTTTTTTTTCTCAAATATCTGTGATATTTGAGAGAAATCTGCCTGACTCATCTAGGCTGCAACACCTAGGCCTAGGCAGATTTCCAGGCCAGCTCTTTCTGAAGGCTCTTTTAGCTCCTACTCTGAGGGCAAGGTCACTATCAGTGGCCCAGCTTGAGCCATCTTCAATATCGGCCTTTAAGGACAGGTTTGGCCAAAGATCAAAGTTCAGGCAAATGGTTTTTGGTATCTTCAAGTGGCAAAAAAATGGAATGCAGAGTATTTACCCTGGATCCCCACCAACACCTGCACTGAGCTGGGATGGCAGCAAGGCAAACTGTCAACAGCACAGCACAGGGAGGAGCTGAGAGAGAAAGGGTGAGCATATCCTCTGAGTGGGAGCTTGCTGGTTTGACCTTGCTTGTCTACACATGCATCACCTGACACCTGCTCCCACATGTCCAGCACACCAGGGTGTAGTAAACGTGCAATAAACCCTTGTTCTAAAAGGCATCAGAGAGAAGAAAGCTCAGTGTCCCCTCGAAACTCAATACTATCATGAACTTAAAGCATATCACTTTAACACTTAAGAGATCAAACTTTTAGCAGCTGCGGATATAGGCCAGTAAAACGGGGTCTGTGGTCTTCAGGACCTTGCAGCTTCCCTGTTTCTCACCAAATACAGGCTTTAAAGCACTGCCCTTCAGCATTGCTGAGCTGGCACAGGGAGTTGGGAGGATTACCTTTTCCTACCTCAGCTCATGAAAACCGTGCTGCTTTGATTTGCAGCCCCCAAACTTCTGAATCATGCAAACACTCGTCAGCCTTTCAGTTGCTGCTGAAAAGACAAAGTGGTAGCTTCAGATTCAAATGCAAATGTTGCTGGAGAGCATCTGAAATAAAAATCGTGTTCAAAAGTTGAAAGCCCTTTTTTAGTCAAAAAACCGTGAACTTCCTCAAAGAAAGTATGAAAGAGGTGGCTACAGAACCAGCAGTAGATAAAACACCTGCTTTCTGCAAAACTATCTGGAGGATCTGCATGTCCCATCAGACTAATTTTGATGCTAGAGGAAGAGGAAAGGGAGGAAGATTGTTCAGTCTGCTGCTCTTGGGGGAATCCTGCAACAGAGAGGTTGCTATATTAACCACTTCACTGTTTTGTGCCGGTCTTGTTATCTGTTCTTGTTAAAACCTTTATTATTCATGGATGCAAAAATCTGATCATTAAAACAGCATAAATATTCATATTATGTGCATTTCATTTAGCTACTTGGTGAAACTTCTCTTAAGTACAAGAGTTTTGAGGAAATCTGGCTAATGAGACCAGAGCATAGGAAGTATGCATGAGTTTTCCTTTTCTTTTCACCTGCAAATGAATGCAGAATAACTAATGACATAAACAACCACAAAAAGGGTAAGAATTCACCAGGCAGGATGATATGCACACTTGCTTTGGCTTCTGTGCCAAGGGGAATGCAAGGGTTTTTGTAATGCAATTATGTGCAAGAGCCAGGATATTGTAAAACTAAAGTAGAAAGCATGATAAGCATCACTGCATGGGTTTATCGGCTTTGCCTCACATTTAAAGTCTAGCCATTAACATTGTGCATGGTCCACACTCCTGTTCAATCCTTTCTTAAGGTAGAACTGGCATTCTTCTCTCTGCAGCTGTGTTAAATCAAAATGTAGCTGTATTCCACCCTGTAAAAGTCACTATATCTACTCTTCTTGCGCTCCAGCTTTAAGATCTTTCTGATGGCAGAGATAAAACAAAAATTTCCTCCCAAAACAAATTCTAAAAACTGCCATTAAAACATCTGCTACACAGAGCACTCAGCAGCTGAGGAAGACCTCTCACAAGGGCCTGGTTCATCAAAATCCTGAGCTGCCAGCTCCACGTGCAGCAGCTCCAGGAGATGCCTTGCAGAGTGCAAGACTCCAAAGTTACTCCTGTTTTAGAATAGCAAGGTGAAGTGTGTATTTTTAAATGCTAGTGAGTTTTCAAAACTGAGCAACATAGGCCTGAGTCAATGGGAAATCTTTTCTTGATTTCTGCGAGCACAGACCAGATAACACAATCAGGCACTTTCCAGGTTTTCTATTTCATATTTTTATGAATTTCCACAAACAAGCAAGTCTATTCACAGGCAATTTACACAAGTAACTACTTCAGCTAACAGATTTGTCTGGAAGGAGGGAACCAACAGAAAATCTACTTAGCACAAAAATTTTTGTGGTATCTCTTCTTTTTGAATTTTTCTTAGAGTTTCCTTTTTCATCCAACAAAGACCTTGCTTTAAAATCTTCTATGTGGTCTAAGGGAAAATTTAAACAAAAATTTAAATTGGTGATATTTCAGGTTGTTTGATTAGCAGCAGCAAATCAAATGTGCTGAAAGCAAGCACAAATAGCCACATATAAGGGCTGCCTGCACTGCATTATTCACAGTGAAGACTCAGTTCTGGTTTGGGCTCTTATGCATACACCTGTAATAGAAAGTTGAATCGGGCTTTAAACTAAACTTCCCAGTAAAGGCAAATGCTAACAAAAATAAGATTTATAAGGAAGGAGGTACTTTTGATTCCTGTGCTGTTAAAGCCTGTAAAAAAATTTAGCCATCCCAGTTGATTACCACATCTCTAACCTGTATAAATCAAATCTTTGTTCTAAATGAATAAAATCACTTTGGCAGACAACCATATTATAGCAGTATGATGCATGCCTGAGTATTCCTAAGAATGCCCTCAGAGGTACTCTGTGAGCAGAAATATTCTGCAGAAGGGAAGATGAGGGAGTACAAAGGCCCATCATGCACACTAATGCAGAAAAATGAAATCAAATACCATTCTCAGCAAAGGCAGAGTGTCTTCTGAGCAAAGGCTATTAAGTGTGTCAGACTGCAGGATATTTTCTGGACACGAATATTATGTCAAAACATACTGAACATGTGTCACAACTCTCCTGGTTGTAACATCACAGCTCCAGAGGAAAAAAATGGTGCATCAATTCTTTGTATCAAATACTCAGACAATCTTTTCTTCTCACCAAGCTCTCACTTCTCATTTTAAAAGAAGGTTAGAGTAAGTTATAATTAGTATTTGTTGCCCTGTCAACTAATTAAATATAATAAAAAGCTTTCTCTGAGTTTAATGCTAACATAGTGTAATTACAGTAGTTTTGAATGCACAGTGCATGTACTATAGGTTTTGGTATGTACTCCCCACCTTTTATGACCTAAGTTCTCAGGTCCAATCTGTCATATGAGTAGTGAGCAGACACTGCCACAGACAACTATTTCAGACCTAAACACAAGTCAACACCAATACAATCCTGTACTTTTTGAGATGCACTACTGTATCAGCCACTGGGGGCAGGGTGGAAGGAAGGAGGAGGAGCAAGCCATCCAGTTTCTTGCTTCCACTTTTCTACCCCTTCCCTTCAGGAGGAAACCTTGGTTGCATAAGGTCCCCTAATGAATTCTCCCATTCATTAGGCTCAGCTGCTCTGAGCCTTTTTGGTAAAGAAAGATATGGCCAATATTTCAAAGCCACTTCTCAGACTTCCTTGCCAGTCTGAGAGACATCCTGGGAAGAGGGGGGACTGCACCTGCCCTATTTGCACAACTCTAAGGCTGGCTCTACTCTTCAAGTAAGAGTTGCACCTTATAACTACCTGTTATCCAGGGGAGGAAGATCACTTGCAAGGCCCAGAGCAGGGCAAAGTGATAATGTAATGCACCAACACTTGGCTGATACAGTTTCTTATCCTCTTAAGTATTTGGAAGAGCTTTAAACACATTAAAAAGGGTGAAGAGCAGAGATCTGTCAGGGAATTGGTTGTTACAGCTCTAGGTACTCAGTTGTTGTGTCCGTGACATGGATTTTTCACCCATTCCCATTCATTTCACCCATTCCTCTCAGTTTCTATTCTGTCTTTGGAAACATTCAAGGTCAGTTTGGATGGGGCTCTGATCTAGTGGAAGATATCCGTGCTCATTGCAGGGTCATTGGCCTAGAAGACCTTTGAAGGTGCCTTCCAATCCCAACCATTCTATGATTCTGGGTAAGGCAGGTACAAGCAGCCCACAAAATGAAAATGCAGTTAATTAAACAAAAATGTAGTCTAAAAGAACCAATTAAAATGATGAAAATCTTTAATTTTATTTAAGTATAATTGTACGGACACGTGTATATACAAATACAGATCTTATGGGGCAAGGCGTTTGGGTGTTTTGTTTCTTTTAAACATTTTGTTTTAAGTTTATATAATGTAAGCATTTCAAAACAGCACTCAATCAATAAGTGCAAAGAAACTGCAAAGCAGGGCAGTACAAGCACAGGACCACACTGAGCTGGACTTTCATACCCAGATGCATACACAATGAGTGTCTTCAATGGGGTGTCAAGAGTAAGCATGGTAAGCGGATTTCGCAGACTCATGGGTAACCTCCAACATGCCAGCATCTATTAAACTGTACAGACAATGGCAGCAAGCCTATTGTAGGGAGATTTGTCTCACATCTGAGAAGCTCAAGGGCGAATGCATGGGAAAAACTCAGTGATGCCTGACCAGAAACAGATCTGCCCATTCACAGTTCCAAATTAAAAGAGGAGGAGGGTGGGAGAGGAGGCAGGGCAGGAAGAGGGAAGAGAAGTGTGGAGGGCTGTACATTAAAACTGGTGATTACAAAATCCAAGTGTAATGAAAAGAGGGTAAGAGTTAATACTCTAAACCTCTGAAAGTGGCTGAACCATTGCACTCATAAGGCAATGGATTAAGTTCAGTTTTGAGGGCTAGGGGTGGGAATCAACAGGTATAAATACAATTATTTTCCTTCCATAATTATGGAGGAAAGGGAACAATCCACTCAACTACTCTCAGTACTTCCCAAATTTGCTTCTAGTTCTTTTGGAACCAAGTACATACATATATCACACATGACACTGGCAAGATCCCTTCTGGAAAAAAAAAACAACAAACTATTAATGGGAACAAACCCAGAAGGAAAAGAGGAGGAAAAAAAAAACCAACCAAATTAAAAAGAAACAAACAAATAAAATAACAGAAATGCTGTTATATCCCCAAAGCCTTTTTAGAAACACATGATACAAAAGAACAAAACTAACAAAGAAACCACAGGGCTCCAACATAAGACCTTTACACATGGAGGATAAAACATTGATCATCAAAAGTCATGTTCCAGATCTTGACATTGTGAAGTCTTGCAACAGATGAACGATTTTCGAATATGAGTCCTGTATGCTGCAGTGTCATGGCCACTTGTCTCTCAGTTCTCAGCCATGATCACACTTGATGCTTCAAAGCTCCTGGAAATCTTGTTAACTACACATGATTTTAATATCCTGAAAGCCTATTGTTCTCACTTACAAAAGACATAAGAATCAAATTAATACTTTATTATCAAACACTATATACAACAGATGTTGCTAATAATACAGAATTTAAAGAATGTAGCATTAAGTTTTACTTGTCTTTCCTTCGCCATCCAGGTAAGTACAGTACAAAACAATATTCTAAACTAACACGAAATGTTACCTTGTCTATTGAAGGATACACAGTATCCACTAAACTGACTGATTCCTATTTCGCCTGGTTCACATTGCAATGCCCTTGGCAGCCAGGAGTGCAGGTCATGGGTGCAAGTAACCCACTATGGCTGGGGAGAATCAGTACCTCAGACTTGAGCAGGGGCAGATGAAGAGTAAGGGAGCAAAAAACTCCTTAATTTTCAGCAACATCTGCACTTAAAGCATCCAGAGGTTTGCAACACAACACAAAACCCACCAACATTTATGTATTTGGTATGACTGGGATTGCCTAATGCCATCAAGTATGAAACTGGCAGTGCCTGGAATGCTGCTTCCAGCCACGCTGGGCAGCCCAGGGATCATCGCTTGTGTTGTCCCTCACGTATGCAGCAAGGCTCTCGGACAACATGAAGGGGTGAGTTTCACCAGGAGTAACACTAGTGACAATCCTTTGCTGTGGGTAAATGGATGTCTTTAACACCATTCAGAGACAAAGGATGACAAATGTCACCATTTCTATATCAAATCTGCACTACTTGTGTGACTGCCTGCAATTACTGTAAATCATTTTAATATGGTTACACATCATGCAATATTATCTGTAGTCTGGTTAACAATCCATTTGGTAAGGTGCATTCTGATTAAGCTCACCTCATCCAAAGCTTTTTAATTCCTACCTTCAGAAAGTATTAGTGTGTGTATCAAGTATATACACCTTAAAGAGAGCAAAGTACCATACAGCCTGTAATAAGATGATGACTTCTCTCACTGTTTGGACCGTGTATCTTTATTCTGTGCACTTCACACTAGAGCAAATTTCCTGCATTCCTCCTGTAGGTCCTGTATTCATGAACATGTATGATATCAGGCAAGCCCAGGTCATAGCTCAGCATGCATAAAACCTCTCTTTACATATCAAATTTATTTTCCTCTCTCCTGCCTCAACTTCTGGAAGGCTTTTCTTCATTTAAAAATATAAAGTCTCTGAAGCGGTGTCCACTAATTGCATCAATTAGTTTTGTTACGGCAGAAATTTTCTTCATACTTAATATAAAAAAATCTTGTTTTGCTTGAATACGCTCCATGTTTTGTTTCACCTATAACTTAATTACCACAGTTTTTATCAGAAAAGCTCTGTTTCAGTCTGGGTCTGAAATTTCACTGATTATGCTTAGCAGTCTGAATTTCATGGCAGCCTAGCCAAAAAATAACCCAAGGCTTGCACTTCCTGGCAAATTACTTTTTAAAGTTTTGTTAGCCAAGGCTCAGATTCCTTAAACGGGTCACTCCTAATTCCATCAAGGGTTACCACTTCTCTCACATTTAAATAGGACAAGCATATATACTCACTCTCAGCATAAAGTATATCTAAATAATGTATTTTCTATTCTAATGGATTTTTAAAAAAATATTTTGTTAAGTCTTTGGGAGCCCATCTAGTTTATCTCCAGCTGATAAATATGTTTCCTCTACTCTTCAAACTGTGCTGGAAGGGGAAAAGATAAAAAATCAACATTGAATTTATATTTCACACTTATTTTCTTTTCCCCCACCAAACAATGCTATTAGACTGCCCTGGCTTCTACATGTGATTTATTCCCATGATTGAGGAACTTACAGGAGAGACAAATCAAGAAAACACTGGAGATCTTGTGTCCCAAACATGTTTCCTCTGGCCACTGATGTCCTTTTTTAGCATGTATTAACACCCAGAGCAGCATCCAAGGCTATCAGCTACTAAGTCAGCGCTGGGGAAGGTCACTTTATTCTCAAAAGTGCCTCTGCATTTCAAGAAAAAAAATTTTAGCACCACGGTGATTTGTTTTAAAATAAAATAAGCCGGTGTGCATTATCCCCTTAAAACGAAATAACAGAGGCACTCACACCCCCAGTGAAGTTTCCTAAATCTGACCTTGCCTGCTGTGTGCTAACATTCCTAAATACTAACTTTTTCCTCTCACCAAAGACAGCACTTCTACTTGTGAGCAAAAGTTTTACTCTCAAGGATTTTTCAAGAGTCCCACAAGAAACATAATTTTCCCCTTTCAGAAGCCTTCATTTAGAAACTTCTGGAGGAAATAGTGTTATGTCTATTCTTAATATCTCCCATCAAATCTGACATGGTGACACAATGCCTTGCATGACCATCTTACAGTGCTGAACTAGAAGGCATAAATATTGTATCACAGAGAAAGACTCTCCCAGGTTTTCATTCACTTTCCTTATCCCTCATTGACTGCATCTGCCACTACACTTTCTTGTCCACATACGGATGACACAGTGAGCTAACAGAGGTGACTTCTTAAAGAAGAATGCAGAAGAAAATAAGAATCACTAGTGTCACTATTATAGTTTGGCATTTTCATTTGGAGTCCTTTTATTTATATGGAGGGGTTAAGAAAGTCACAGGGTAGGTAGGGGTGGGTGCTGAAGCTAGTTATCCCCTTCAAATTTTTGCTGAGTTCAGGCTAAAAGGGAGAAGAAAAGGGAAAAATAACAATTTGACATCTGCAAAAACAATAAAGTCCCTTTCCTGGGATGAGCAGTTAGGTGGATCTTTGATGTTCCAAGACCCTGGTATTTTCTGTGACAGGTTGCCGGAGCATACTGTGCTATAATATCAAAAGCATTGCCAGGAGGAACAATAGAGTTGCCAAAAGCTGGCTGGGTATCCTTGGTGTCTGTGCTGCGTTCTCACCACGGGATGGCTCGGCTGACTCATGTACGGTATCATCTGTTCAAACAGAAAGCATACATTCCAATGAGACTTTGCATCCTTAATAAACTCTCACTGAGATGACAACTATAAGTAGATTTCAGTGCCTTTATGAAATAGGGCAATGAACCTTGTGCTGTCATTGACTTTCACAAGCGTGTAATACCTCATTATGTAACCAACTTGGGGCCAAGTCCTGCATTTCTTACTGGCAAAACTCCCACTGAAGACCAGAAGGATAGAAAGTAAGTCAGATTTCAGCAGATTGAGGAATGAGTGATTCCTCTTCAGTAAAACACTGTGGTTCTAGCTTTGATGTCTCATTAGACAGCAACATCATTTGGGAGGCAGCTAAATAAAAACATCTGATTTTCAAAAGTGTTGCACAGGCCCAGAATTAATTTTGCAGTTAGTCTCCTTATTCAGTTACAGATTTTGGCTCCTGAATTTGAAATGACAGCCTGTAAGCCCGAGCATAGACCCCCCCATTCCATGCAGAAAATTTCCACTGAAGTATGTTGCATTTAAGAATGAGCAGGAGATGTAAGATCATTCCTTCTTTCTTGAAATAAAATTTTAAAGGCTAACACAAGACAGTCACCAATTTTATAGAACATATACTCAATCTGGAAAATCTCACTACTTTTCACGATACACAAAATAGAGATTTACATATATGCTGCTAGAACTAATGAAAAAAAGAACCAGCTGAGTTAGGAAAACATGCTTATGGCATTAGTGGCAGAAGAAAACAAGGTTACAAATACTAAATATATGACACATAATAAGGAAAGCCCTGTTAACTTTTTGTAAACTTAGGATCAGCCTAAAACCCAGAGCTTATAAAATAGAAAAGGTAGGCAAAGTCCAAATCAACTTTGGTGTTGTTATAGCAGTGATATTTTTCTCTGCAAAGCCCTCCATATCCAAAGCTGTCTAATTTAGCTATTCAAAAAGCAATCAGTCTATGGCTTGCCATAAAAAATCAGCTCTTGTTTTTCATTACTAAATGAAAAGAAAAAGCCAAGCCTTTCTAGGAAGTGTGAAGTGGCCTCAAAATGTATCTGTAAGTTTATTTTAGAACACCAAAGTTTCCAGCATAGTATCTCATCTACTTAATGAAATAAACTCCCTATTTTATAAGAGATATTAATATGTCTATGATGTTCCTGTCTCAGCTTCCATCTCAAAAAATTGCACTGCCAAGATTACATTGGTTGAGACTTGAGCAGTTCCAGCAAGAGGCACTAAAGGAAGCAGGAGTCAGGATACTGGGATCACCATGCTGCTTTGTCATGGAGCCTTTCATGTTACTTGGCTTTAACCACAGGCAAGCTCCCTCCCTTTCATATCCTTGATACCTAGCACAAAATCAGGAGAGCACTTAGCATAATTTAGGTTAATAGGCTCTTCAGTCCCAGCTCAGTTACACAGCAAGGTGCACAGTAAATCAAATTAGCAATTTATCACATGTATTTTCTCCAGCACTGATACTATAATCACATAAGGCTTATCAACAGGTTTCAGTGCTGCTCATGGCAAATGTATGAAAAGCAAGCACTGATTAGCTGTAAATATGTTCATGTTTATGAGAAAGAGACATCTCTTCTTGGTGGCGCTAAGCAGTAGCATAAGAGGCAAAGGGTAGAAAGTGATGCACAGAAAGTTACACAAAGTTACACCTGAAGAGGAGGAACTTCACTGCACGAGTGACTATGCACTGAACAAAGACGGTGTGGAGTCGTGCTCACTGGAGATACTCAAAAGAACCCTTAGTACCATGCTCTACGGGACCTGCTTTTGTACAGAGGTTGGATTAGATGACTTCCAGTGGCCCCATTCTGTGATTCTGTGGTGTCAGTGGGAAAGTCTGTCTGGAATGGCTTAAATTGAAGCTCTGCACCATGTATGGCAAGGAGACCCTCCCAGCATATTGGACCCAAATGAGGCTGTTGTCTTTTCCTCCAGAATTATTCTAAAGGAATCTAAAATGAATGCTGGCTTCTGAAAATGCTATATTCAGTAATCGTCAACACCAAAAGCTCTTTCACGTTTCACTTCTGAGTTACAGTCTTGCACTATGGTGACACTGCAATGACAATAGAGTACTTCACAAAAGCTTGCTTCTCAATTAAAACATATTTAAGAAGTCACAGGGAAAAAATACCCGTGTTGCCAGTACTGCCTCCTTTCATATATTTAAAGTTAGCTCTTACAAGTTTAGAAACATTTACTCACTGCTGATGAACTAAAACTACAGAGGAGAATGATACCTTCTACCTCTAGAATTGCAAATAAGTTTGAATTTTCAACACTGAATGTCAACAATTTTGGCCTAATTACATCAGTGAGTCAGCACTAAAACACAATAGGGCAGAACTAGTATATAGCAGTAATAAATCCTCATTCTCACTGACTATCAGATACTGCCACAACTGGAACACTGACTACTGCTGAAAAATGCAATGAAAAAGCACTAAGCTAAAAAGATTGCTTCTCTTAAATGAAAAATATAGAGACATTCTATGATGCCATTTTTATAAAGCCATTCTTCACAGAAGAATTAATTTCCAGGTAACATTAAGGGATTCCTTTTGAGAAATCATCTGGGTTTTCTTTCAATGCTGTTGCAAGGTTTCTGCACTCAGAACACGATTTATCTGCAGTTTTGAAAATCACTTTACCAATATGATTGTCCTTGGAGGTGCAGAATCATAACTGCACAGCCTTTAAGGTTTGGGGACAAGGGTTTGCTTCATTTGAAACATTGATGAAGACAATTGATGAAGAGGAAAATATTCCTAAGTAAAATGCAGAAGGCCACTAATAAACACTGGGAATACCAGAAATACAGAAGAAAATATTTTGACAGCCATTAATTTTTCAGCTCACACAGCCTTACATCACATTCTTCAAGTATAACTTTCAGATATGCACAGCTGCAATTTTTGTTGAAGGACTTTTTCTTTTTTATTATTAAGGAGAAACAGAAAGGAAGGAATAGGAATAGAGACAATTACTTCCACCACTTGTGAAAGTGCAATCACTGGAGATTCCTATAAATTTCTGAACAAAACCGGTGAAATTACAAGGGTTCAAAAATCACACAAATGGTGATTTTTACAAGGAATGAGTAATCTGCTGAACATGACCCTCCTGCCTTCTAATTCTTGTGTCTGCTGTGGAAGAAGACCTAAGTGGCAGGCTAAGGGAGAGCACAGAAGCAGAAGATGCTCATCAGAGACAGGTAAATTAGTACACAACCCAGAACACATGCAAAAAGATCCACCAAGGCAGTAGCAACCCTAACAGGCCAACAACGGAGAAATATGACAGCACGTGGCACATCTCAGTGACTGATTATCTAACGGTGACTGGCCCCATTAATAATACAAATATACATTGATATCAGGAGTGGGAATTTTGTGGTACCAAACCTTTTCATTAAAACTATTATTTCCCTCTGGTAACACAAACAGTATTTAATCTCAGACTGCAGGATGCTCTTTGTTTGATTTTGCTTGCCTGGTTTGCCTGCTGCTTTCTAATGATTTTGTGATGATGTTAGCTAGTTATAGACAATCAGTAGGAAGTGAGAAACACCTTGCTGAAACAAAAATGTATCAGGTTTACCAAAATCAGGCATGTATTACTCAGATTAGATGCTCTCTTTTGCAAGCAGTATCAGGCACATTAATTAGACCATGTTGATCAAATCATAAAATGTAAAAAAGTGCACTGAATTTCAAATTCATAGGTAGAGACAGTGAGAGAACATCCTAGTGTCTTTGTAGAAAATGCTGCTAATGTATAAATACAGCCAATGTAAGTGCACTATCCTTGCATTTAGACTTACTTAGAGAACATCTTTGATTCACAAACTCCAAATTTTTAGGAAAGAGATGAAAATCATTCTAAAGAAAAATAATAAATTCTATTGTTTATCCATAGGTAAATAATTTAAATCAGCTAAATTGTAAAAGCCTTATATTACTTATGTATAATAAAAGAAGTTTAATTAAAGGATCTGTATATAAAAAAGAGAAAAAAAATTCATATGTTGTTTTATATGCAAAGACAATGTTGCTTCACTTTCAAAAAATGTAAGAGAAAAAAAATCTCAGTAATCTGTTCTTTAGGGTATGTACTAAATTATATGTGTGTAATATTTTCTGATATTATTTGTGTATTTGACTGTTTTTTTTCATTATTGAGGCTTTAATACAACATGTAAGTATGGTGTAGGTAAAATGAACAAGTCTACCACTACTGCAAATATTTTTCCTACATACCTACATAATTTTAACTCCTTTTAAGTTGTTTGGGTTGCTCATACCCCTAGAATTATATAGACTTCTATCTGTCACAAGCTTCAGTCACACAAACAATACATATGCACTTCCCACATGGAGACACTGTAGCTTGATTGATGGTGCAAGTTAATGTAACTTTGCCCTGAGCAGATGAAGAAAATCATTATTCCTAAGACAGTATTTTGCAAGAAAAGCCTCCCAAAACTTCAGTTTGCTTCAATAAAAGCAGGAGAGAAATTTGTATTTATAAATTTACCTAAATATGAGTGTTTGTGAGTGTGTGTACATGCACATATGCAAAATGATACTTTGCCTAACGAAGTACATATACAGCTATATATAATTTTAAGGGACTAGTTTCTTTTTAAACAAAAATTCAGTTGCATACCTGTGTCATGCACTGACATTCAACAAATGGTCCTGTTTTTCTGAAAATCTTTTGAAAGCACCTAACAAATGAAGTGTGACCATTGAATTTATTTCTAAAACTTTGGGTCCAATAAGCAAATAGAGTGTGTTGCCAATATGCTGAGTGTTTGGCTTGATGGGCCAGTGGCTCCAGGATACCAGCAGAAATTTTACACTGGCACACACCAAATTTTGCTAAATCATGTCACCCCAAAAAAACCAAATAAAACAAAACTTTTACTTCACTGAATTAAACAAGGATACAGGAAGTATACCACAAGCTGTATTAGCACTGCTAGAAAGGTGTAAAAGCAGGGCAGTTGTACCATGCAAAGCATGCAGAGAAAAAAGGAAATAAAGTACTGAAGCACCAGAGGGATACATGCATTTGTTAAAAGAGATTCTCTAAGCATACTAACCTGCTGGTTCTAATGAATTTTCTACTTTGTCGTTAACATCGAAAACACGATCATGAACACCTATAGTTTTCATACAGCTGTCTATAACAAAAATAGAGATAACAGCCAAATATGTTAGTCAAACACCCTTACACTCCCCACTTTCCTTTTTTCCTCTCTTTTTTTCTCTCTATTTACTATACATAATTAGGCATAGTCATATTTTAAAGTCTGTGGCACTTATTCAAATGCCAGTATAAGTCTTCCATTTGTACAAAGTTCAAGAAACAAAAAGCTAGCAACTGCCAAGTAATTCAAACAAAACTTTATGAAAACGATAAGAAAATACAATGAAAATCATAACACAACCATTGCTGTATGTAGAGAACAGATACAAGATTTAACCATTTAAAAAATATTGTTTACTAGACTGCACAGCAAAGCAGGTGCTAGAAAGCCACTCTCAAAATCTTAATCTGAAGAACTTACTTGCTGGTCGCACAAACACCTTAAGCTTTAGGCAGGATCTCCTTCCATTATCTGGGATCGCAGAAGCTGTAAAATGAAGAAAAAGGAAAAATAAGTGGAAGAGTAAGAGAGTGAAAATCCACAATATCTTTTGTACTGAAATAAAATATTCTTTCTCTTTCCTTCTTCTGAAGGACTGGACACACCTCAATCCCTGAACATAAGTACTTCAAAGTACTTGATTATCCAAAAGCATATAATAACTGTAGATTTTATTCAAATTAATGTCTTCATCATTTTACATGGATGAAGTGAAGCACATGCTACATTCAATGTTTCATTACCTCCTTCACCTTTCCACACCTTCTTCTTGAATGCTTGTTCAATATGGTTTTTGCTATAATGCATGTGTCCACATTGCAAAAATAATTCTGTAAAATGAAGAAAAAGGAAAAATAAGTGGAAGAGTAAGAGAGTGAAAATCCACAATATCTTTTGTACTGAAATAAAATATTCTTTCTCTTTCCTTCTTCTGAAGGACTGGACACACCTTAATCCCTGAACATAAGGACTTCAAGTGCACAAAGTACTTGATTATCCAAAAGCATATAATAACTGTAGATTTTATTCAAATTAATGTCTTCATCATTTTACATGGATGAAGTGAAGCACATGCTACATTCAATGTTTCATTACCTCCTTCACCTTTCCACACCTTCTTCTTGAATGCTTGTTCAATATGGTTTTTGCTATAATGCATGTGTCCACATTGCAAAAATACTTCAGAATACAGATACTCAGAGAAATGTTAACCTTGAAATTTTAGGCCATAGACTTCCACAATCCAAAAAGGGATGAAAAAAAAAAAAATACACCAAAAATGACAGTGATAAAAATGGAACTATGTATGTACTTCCATCAAAGTAGAAATACACACCAGTATATTTTACAGCAAACTCAGTCTCCATATGCATCGGTCTTTATTGAGAAAATACTTATCCACTACAGTCAAAACATGATCCCTTTTGTTATACAGCTAACAAAACAAAATCAGTTTATTCCTACTTTCTGCCCTCCCTCATGATTTCCCATACAAATTATTTAATTTTTAAGAATACTAACTGTATTAGGAGAAAAAAATTAAGTGGAAATATGTCTAGCCCTAATACAAAAGGTCATCCACAAAGGTCTAGTGGCAACACCTATTGATTTTACAGAAAAACGTGTGTTGTGATAACTTCCTTTCTATAACCATTCTTGCCTCAAAATACAAAATAATAAGGAAATATCCCTGCTTTTCACCACCAGGGTATCCCTTGGGCACTGTCTGCCAATATTTACACACCAGTAAATTTCCTCAGTATCTGCAATTCTGATATTGTACATTGGCCCACAATTCAACATACACAACCAAGTAACTTGACTTGGGCATGAAGATCTTCATTGTAAAAGATCATTCACTTTTTTTTTTCTTGAAAATGCCTCAAGATCTATCGTTAAAAATATTACCTGAAGCACTGCAGAGGACCTTTTCTTTCATTGCATTTAAAATCTATGTATTAGGGCAGAATTAATTGCATTTTGCATTAAATGGCCACTACTGGGAAAGATGATTGGCCTGACAAGATATTAGTTTCCTCTGTTTACCCTTATTTCACTCATGTTCTTGTGCATGACAAACAACTAAAACAATTTATACATAGACATATGAGCTCTTTGTCTTTATGTTAAGCTTAACAACTAAATGGCTCCTCAGATCATTTGAAATAAATTTCCTAAGTCTTCTATGATGTGCTTGCAGGACAGGCATCCAATTTTTCCTAGAACTTACCAAGAACTAGCAAATTCAGTACAACCACAAAAAAGGAGCAAAGTAAAGAATCTAATACAGTTCATGTTGTGATTCTGCATTTTGAATTTTGTTGAAAAATTGTTTCCCTCTTTTAGTCAAAACAAAAAGCATGTAGAAATGATGCTCTCCTCCCACAATGCCAAGCAGTTAACAACTGCCTTTGACTGTAGCATCTTACCAAGTCAGAAAATTTCTCTCCATTGAGTTGGCAGTAACTGGTGTGTTATTTGGGGCACAATATTGCACTCTGTGGCTATCTTCAGGAAATCATGTCATTTTGGTGGCCTTCACTGTATATATTTAACTGGCTAGTTACTTTGTTAAGACTAAACAGGCAGTTGTAGATTTCTCAAAAGATGAGAGTACTATAATCATTATATATGACATTATCATATATAATCATAACTAGGATAGAGGTGAAAATCACATTTCCAGTATAAGACAGAACTGAATGCCTATAGTAAATTTATCACTGACAGATTTTTTTATGCCCAGAAATTATTTCAGAGGTGCATTATGGTACACATTTATTTAAAGGCAAATTTTTGCTTTGATGCTTACATGCTTTTGCGTATGTCCATAAAATAAGCATGTTTTGCTTATTTAAGCTGCTGTTTATTAGAATACTCTGTTAATCAGTGACTAACTAGAATACCTGACTAGCTAGGATAGCTAGAAGCTAATAATATCCCATCTGGAAATAAAATCTATTCTTTCTGGGAAAACAGAAAATAAATGCTTAGTACAGAAAATTAATGCTTAGTACACTGAAGTTTATATGTTCACATAATATTTACACACACATAGGAGCAAATAACAGCTAGTGATTTGCCATATTAAAAAAAAAAAGGGGACAAAAGAGACAAAAAAAATTTGATTCACTGTTGAAATATTTCCCACCAGTCTTTACACTCTCTTGCAACTGTAGAGTATATAATGAAGAACTGTCCTATTACAACCGTAACAGTTCCACTTAAATGATCATTCCAGAAACTGGCACAGTCTTAGCGAGAAATTTGAAATAGTGCTTTTCTTCTTTCCAGAGAAATTATGTATTTTCAGAATTTTCTGTAACCTCAGAAAGATTCCTCTTTAATCAGTGTTTTACACCTTCAGAAGGAAGGTACAAGAAATTTCTTTGTCCTTCTTGAATGAAATCAGGTTGGACCCTAAGGCTTTGCTACAAGGCTTTTCTATTTTCCCATTTTATAGGTGATATTAGCTATAAAATACAGGCCGGTTCTGAGAGCAAGAAGCCTCTGATGCTAATGGAACCTGTCCGAAGTAACAGTTTCCATTTCAAAAGCCAGAATTCACGCAGAAAAAAAAAAGACAATTGATTCCTTGCTGCAAAACAAAAAAGAAACCTGTGAAAAAACTTCTTTAAAAGAAGCAAAATATGTTATATCCACGTATTTTTTTCATTAATGATATTAGTATAGAAAATATCTGACTGGTTTAGTTTGTGTCAGGAAGAATCACAATTGAAAACAGATGAGCAACTCTGAAGTATTGCTAGTTCCTACATGTTATTACAATTCCTATGATACCTCCCACTTCCTCTGCCCTACCTCACCTTTGCCAGCAACTTCATGAAAAATTTCCTGGGTCTCACTCTTAAAAAAATGTTTTAGACCTCATGGTTACACAAAGACTTGAGTGAGAAGAAAGTCAACACAAAAATCCCTCTGAAATCACAAGATATATGAAAACATCTCAATAATTATAAAAATAACTGGTTTGATCTCTTCATTATTTTTTAAATAGGAAAATTCCATAATTGAGAAGAAATTTAAGTCATGAGCTCTGTATTCTTCAGATGAGAATTCCGTTGACATTAGTTGAACAAGGAAAGAAAAAATGTACAACGAACTACTGCACACAGGACTAAGTACAAGTAGGATCTGAAAACAGCTTATAATGACAAATTAGACGGGAAAACTTCTCGTCTCTGAACTGCTTCTGGTTACCATTTTTATACCCTGTAAGGAAAGGAAAGAGAGTGATAAAAATTATTCACTCATCATCTACAGCCAAACCATAAATATTTCCATATTCACTAGGTATATTTAAATTTAAAAAAACAAATTTATACAACTCCCTCATCTCCCTCCTAAGTAGTTCCCGACTAGAACACACATGGTATTTTATTAATATATTAGATATAAATAAGAGGTTAGGTCCTTCCTCAGCCTAGTAACAATTAGCCAAGTTATTAAATGACTGCAGACAGCAGCAGCTAGAGAACAAAAAAGCAGCATATACAGAAAACAGTTACGCAGCTCAATTTACTATGATAAATCCACAAAACTCATTAAAGAAGTTATCAACATATGAAACAATCAGCATACAAAATAAGCTAATTAAAAAGTAAACATAAAAAATAAATAAATTAAAATTTCAAAAGTAACTTTTTTATCAGGACCTGCTATTGATTTGACAAAAGCAGCAATTATTTCCTTTCCAAAGAGAGGCAACAGTTTCACTGGCAAATACCTGAGGCTAAGTTTCTAACCTAAAAGCAACTTATCAGGATGCCACATATAAAGTGTCTCAACCATCCTGTTTATTGATATTCGCATGTAATCAGTCTCTGCTTGTTTCCTCACTCATTCTTGACTTTCTAATTACAGGATTGCACTTTTCCCTAAAATGCAAGTCCAGATACAGAGAAAAAAAAGGAATCACAAATGCAGTTCAAATCCTCCTTTAGCACTACAAAGACATTTAACATTCATGGCACAAGCCACTGTGGGCCTTATTAGAAAATTAGAAAGGGAAACTGGTTCAGTTAGAACCAGCACTCCATTTATCTGAGGCACCTTTTTTTAGAATGTGGGGACAGTGGTAAAGAACATCCTTTCCCTATGCAAACAAAACAACCTCACCATTCCACTGCAGATACTCTGCAGATGGAAACTCTCTTACTATTTTATATTTCAATTTCTACCACCAGTTCACTTTGAATATTCTCTGAAGAGATTATAAAGCACTGTTTGTGACACACAGGAGACAAGGAGACACATTCTCATTGTGTTTTTGAAAAATGTGATCTATGTTTTCTTCTGTCTGCTAGGAAATGCAGCAAACAGGGTTTCATTGTAGGCAAGAACTGAGAAATCATGCCTCAATCATGCCTGAGAAATCTCACCTCAGTTCATTGCAGATGTACTACTACTTAACACCCTCTATTACACAAACTGTGGCTCTGATAAGTGTTTCCCAACCACAACCA